GGGCCCAGGTGCGGCCAGGGGGGGACAACCCCGTGTTGCTCCCCCCTCCTTGCACCTTTCCCCTGCGTGCACGCGGGGTTTTTGCAGGGCTTTTTGCATGCGTGCTGCTGCCAGCTCAGCTCGGCGCTGACTCAGGCGGACGGCATGCAGTGTGTGCACTGAGTTTGTGCGTTCCCAGCCCGCACTGTTAACCCTCTGCCTTCCCCCCATTGCACAGTGCTTACCCTGATGAGCTCGGCCCCAAGCACTGGAGCGACAAACGCTATGAAAACCTGATGAGGCTGAAGCAGGAGGCTCTGAGCTACGCCCGGGGGCTGCGGGCGGATTACATCCTGGTAGGGAGAAGGCAGCAGGCGGGTGTCGTGATACATGGGATACATGGGGTGTGGGTGTCCCCACGCCTCCAGCACCAGCTCTGTCCCTGCAGTTTGTGGACACAGACAGCATCCTGACCAACAACCAGACCCTCACCTTCCTCATGGCGCAGAACAAGTCGGTGGTGGCCCCGATGTTGGACTCGCAGACCTTCTACTCCAACTTCTGGTGCGGGATAACGCCCCAGGTACGGCCCAGAAGCCCCGGGGGGCTGCCCAGCACTGTGTCCTGGGCACTGGCACTGTCACACCGCTGTGTTACAGGGCTTCTATCGCCGCACGGCTGACTATTTCCCCACCAAGAACCGGCAGCGCCGGGGCTGCTTCGCCGTGCCCATGGTGTACGCCACCTTCCTGATCGACCTGCGGAAGGAGGAGACAGCACAGCTGGCCTTCTACCCACCCCATCCCAACTACACCTGGGCTTTCGATGACATCATTGTCTTTGCCTACTCCTGCCAGGAGGCCGGTGAGGATCAGCCGTCTGGGGGGGGCTGGGGTCAGCCTCTGTGATGCTCACCCCCTCGCCCTGCAGGTGCTGAGGTCCACGTGTGCAACCAGCAGCGCTTTGGCTACATCAACGTCCCCGTGAAGGCTCACCAGACTCTGGAGGATGAGCGTGTCAACTTTGTGCATCTCACGCTGGAGGCCATGGGTGAGCTCCAGGGGGTCCCCGTGCTGTTCCTGGCAGTGACAGAGGGCTGCAGGCTCCATGGAAGGGATTTTCCATCTCTCTGCAGTGGATGGTCCCCTCATGCAGCGCTCCAGGCACATCTCCGTCCCACCCAAACCGCTCACTAAATTGGGCTTTGATGAGGTACATGCCCCCCATGCCTCCCCTTCACACCTCCTACCCTGGTGTTCAGCCGACCCTGTGTCCCCTGTCTCACACTGCAGTGATGTGCCCTCCCTCCACTGCCCCGGTGAGACTCTTCTCTTCCTCCCCAGATCTTCCTCATCAATCTGGTGAGGCGGCCAGACCGGCGCCGGCGGATGCTGGAGTCCCTGCAGGAGCTGGAGATCGCTGCACGGGTGGTGGATGCAGTGGATGGAAGGTGACAGCGTAGTGTCACCCTGGGAGGGAGCTGGGTGCTGGGGACACCGTGCTGACTCACCCTTTCACCTTGCAGCACCCTCAACAGCAGTGACATCAAGGTGCTGGGAGTGGACCTGCTGCCAGGGTACTATGACCCCTTCTCTGGCCGCACGCTCACCAAGGGGGAGGTTGGATGCTTCCTGAGCCATTACAACATCTGGAAGGAGGTATGGGGCTGAGGGGCACCAGCACGGGTAGGGACCCTCTGTACAACATCTGTCTGGAGAACTTGGGGAGGGGGTCTCTCCTTCAGGGTGAGTGGCCCCAGTATGGCACAGTATAACCCAATATGGCCCAGTGTAGGTCAGCAGCTCTGTGTCCTCCCCACAGATCGTGTCCCAGGGGCTGCAGCGGGTGCTGGTCTTTGAGGACGACGTGCGCTTTGAGGTGTCCTTCCCAGCCCGACTGCAGCGGCTGATGGAGGAACTGGAGGCGGCACGGCACGACTGGGACCTCGTGTAGGTGCTGGGGACGAGGGGTGCGGGGCGAGCGCTGGGCCGGCTCTGACCACTCGCCCTGCAGCTACCTGGGGAGGAAGCAGGTGAACGCAGAGGATGAAGTTCCTGTGGAGGGTGTCCGGAACCTGGTGGTAGCTGGATATTCCTACTGGACCCTGGCGTACGCCATCTCCCTCCGTGGCGCGCAGAAGCTGCTGGCTGCCGAGCCCCTCTCCAAAATGCTGCCTGTGGATGAGTTCCTGCCCATCATGTACGACAAACACCCCAAGTAAGGAGCAGGGCTGCGCTGCTGTGGGAACATGTGGTTCTTCTCCATTGCCACCATCCCACTCCGTCTCTCCCCTCCGCCCTGGCTGGAAGAAAACATCTGCAGCATGAGCTCATTCCCCCCCAGCCCCGCCTGGCCGCCGGCTGCTGGAAAATGGCCCTCTGCCAGCACGGGGCGGCAGGGATGGAGCTGGGGTGTGGGGCTGGCCTTGTGGAGGGCTCAGCCTCACTGGGGGCACCTCACTGGGTGGGGGGTCCTGGAGGGGAGGCAGCTGGAGGTGGGCAAGCGCTGGAGGAGAGGACGTGGGCAAAGGGGAGAGCAGGATGGTAAAATGAAGGGTTGGAAGGGGAGGGGGCACTCTGAGCACACAGCATCTCTGGTGCCATTGTCACTCTCAAAACAGTGCCATCCCCCGTGCACGCACTCCATTGCTGTGTTCTCCATCGCTCCTTACGTGTCCTTCTCCTCCTGCTTTCCCCAGTGAGGACTACAAGCGACACTTTGCCCCACGGGACCTGCAGGTGTTTTCGGCTCACCCACTCCTGGTTTATCCCACTCACTACGCCGGGGACAGCAACTGGCTGAGCGACACAGAGACCTCCACCATCTGGGATGATGACTCCAAACAGACAGGCTGGGTGGGCTCACAGAAGAGCCTGAGGGACCTGCGGGATGGTGGGGGGTATCTTCGCTCTGCATCTCACGATGAGCTCTGAGGGTGCTGGTGCTGGACGTGGACACCCCCTGGGAGCAGCCAGACTCTCCTCACCCACCCATGGGAAGGCATCGGTGAGCAGAGGGCTTACTCCTGCCTGGACCACTAGCAGGGATGCTCACTGCTTTTATCCATAGGGACCAGGCATCGTGACCCAGGGGGGACCATCGTTGATTAGGTTCTCCCCATGGCATGCTCCAAAGTGGGATTTGTCCCTGGGGCTGTTGGCAAAATGGTGCCTAGACAGACGGAGGGGCTGCCAGACTGTGGTGCTCTGGCTCTGTACTCTCCTGAGTAGTGCAAACTGTTTTTTGGACGTCGCATGTGGATTTGCTGATTCAGGAGGAGGGGGGAAGGCCCTGGAAGTGCACATGTGGCCTCCTGCCACCTCTGCCTGTTCCATATCTGGGCCGAAGCCCAGGAGGATTAAAACCAACTGTGTTGGAGCTGACGTTCCTGGCTGCAAGCTGTGCTGGGCAGAGCTGCCCCCAGGTAACACCGATGACAGTGCCTTCCCTCATTTGTTCTGATGCTCTCAGCAGAGGTTTTGGCCTTTGGACTGAAAACCTTTTGCTAATTTGAGCACCGGGATTTGCAGCTGAGTCCTGCTGGTCTCTGGCATGTGTCACGTTTGTGGCCAGATTTGGAGGAGGATGTTTGCTTTACAAGAGTGTTTGTTTTGCGCTAAAACTTCAAGTCCCCAGAGCAAGTGAATACTCTGCAGGGCAATTCTTGGTTGAAAACTGGTGAAGAGAAGCAAGTCCCTTGAAAATGCTGCAACTGACCCTAGTCTGGGTAGGCTGGGGGAGAGGTGAGCTTCTTGCCAAGTCCCCAGAGCTGCTGCTCTCCCCTCTATTGCTCCCGTGGCTGAGGTATCCTGGATGCAGACCTTGCAGGGTGAGGGGATTGGAATGGGAGCTGTAAGCAGAGGGTGAAGTTTGGGTGCCAGCTGGAACAGAGGAAGGAGGCGGCAGGTCCCAGGGTGCGTTCCAGTGCCTGCTGGGATTTGGGCATGGAGCTGCTGTGCTTGCAGGTTGTAGCTCAAACAGGACACATGCAGCAGAACACCAAGCTTTTGGGATGCTGGAGTGGTGCTGGAGCGTAGAAGGCATTCCCTAGCAGCTCTGGCAGGAGAGCTGTAACAAAGCTGGCCAGGAGCTTTCAAAAACTCCAATGTTTTGGCAGAAAACAGCCTAACTCAGAAACTATGACAGCCTGAAACCTCTCCACTAGTTGCTCCAGTTCCGTGGGAGCAGACTGGTCTGCTGGTGAGCTAGGAAATTCCAGGCAGCTCTGCCTTTCTCTGCCATGGGGTGCTGGGACACCTTTACTGCACAGCCACGATGCGGGGCACCAACAGATGCTGAGAGGAAAGGGATGTTTGTGCAGGGGAATGCGCGGGGTGTTCTGAGCAAGGCTGCAGCCACCAGCAGGGACCTCAGGGAGGGACTGAGAACGGCCGTGGTGAAGGGGCAGAAGGCGCTGGGCCCCCGCATGCAGCTGAAGGGTGAGGGGACGGCGCTGGAGCTGCCCCATGGCTGCCCCGGCCGTGCGGGGCCCGGCTCCAAGGAACACGGGTCTGGAAGAGGCTGTGCTGGGCTGCGCCAGGGCTGTGCGCTCCTGCCAGGCCTGGCAGCCACGCCGATTGTTTCCATGTTCGCTGCGCTGCCAGACAGCATCAGGGAGGAGGAGGGAGAGGAGGAAAAAAGGGGGAGAGCCTGGAGCGGGGCTTCGTGTGGGACAGGGCTCAGTGGGAGCCGGGGACTGCGAGCCCTGACGTGGGGCGGCACTGTCCTATGGGGGGTCAAGCACGCTGCAGGGCACAAACACAGGCCAGACCCGCAGCGTCCCGCTGAGGAGAAGGACAAATCCCCCCGTTAGCCTCTAAGCGACCCCGACTCGGGACGACGCCCGGTCTGTATCTGCAAGGTTCTCAGCCAGCAAGAACCTCGGGGGCCCCGCCGCCATCTTGGTTGTGGGCGTCTCCACCGTCTTGGTTGAGGGCGTCTCCGCCATCTTGCTTCCGGGCAACGTCGCCATCTTGGTTACAGGCGGCGGGGCGGGGCCGTGAGGCGTTGCGGGGCCGGGCCGGCGGACGATCCGTGCTTCTTCCCTCCGCGCCGTTCTGGCGGTCGCTCGGGTGCCCTGTGGCTGTGGTGGGGCCCTTTAGGAAGGGCAGGGGTTGGGGATGCAGCCGGGGTCGCTGGGCTGAGCCCGCATGTAGGAGCGGAGATGGAGGCCCCGGAGCTGTTTGCCACAGCCGTGCCCGAGGAGCAGCTGGAGGGCGGCTGGGACCGGGCCCTGCGGAGGCTGTTCGGGCCCAGCCAGTGCCTGCGCAGCGTGGAGCGCCCCAGGGGCGTGGGATCCCTTCCCGCCATTGTGCAGGGCAGGATGCAGGAGCAGTAAGTGCCTGGGTGCTGCTCTGTGTTCACACTGCTGCCTTCCCTGCTCAGAATGTCCTTAGCGGCCTTTAGGGCTGTCCTCACGTCCACCACCTTTCCTTGCTGCCCTCCAGCCACATGTGTGTCCGGGCTCTGTGACAGTCTCCCTGTTGGGCAGTGTGAGCCCAGCTTATGGCTCTGTTCTTCTCTGCAGCTGGCAGAAAGGACGGGGCTTCTCCTCTTGTGGCCAGTGGGAAGAAGCCATCATCTGCTATACAAAAGCCATCAACCTGGATCCACAGCGGGTAATGGGACCCTGGAGAGCTGGGAGCAGGAGGCAGCATTGCTAAGCCTGTAGCACTGGCACCTCGCTTCAGGGTGCTCTTTGCTATGGTGTTAGCATGGTGCCAGCATGATTCTGGGCTCTTGGAGTGTAGCTGGGCCCTGGCAGCATGGGCTGAGGGTGTCCATGGTGCAGGCAGAGCTGTATGAGCAGCGGGCAGAGGCTTTCCTCCAGCTTTGTGACTTCCAGTCAGCCAAGTTGAACTTAATGAAGGTACTTGCATTGGCACCTGCACAAGAACAGCACTGCCTGGCTCGTCTGGCTCTTGTCCTTGACCTGCAGGTGAGCAACCACTCACTTCTCCCCATCTGCAGCCCCAACTTGTGACCATGCTGACTGGCTATCCCTGCAGGGCCAGAGTCTGCTGGACCAGGAGCTCTACAGTGAGGCCCTGAAGGCCTTCATACAGGCAGCTGAGCTGCAGCCTCACTGCAGGGTGTTCTACCAGAGGAGGTGAAGCCAGGGCTGCAGGTTGTTCAGCAGGCTGGCCCTGCCTTACTGCAGGCTCCCCATAGCCTTGTCCCTCTCTTGCAGCATCGTGTGCCTTGCTGCCCTTGGCGAGTTCCCAGAGTTCCTCCGGATGCTTAACAGAGAACTGGAGGAGGATGTGAGGAACCCTGATATGTATGTGCTCCGTGCCTTCTTCTACAAGCGGTTTGGGCAGGTATGACCATGTTGGTCCCTTTGAGGGACCCTGGCTACCCTTCCTGGATATGGGGCCACAGTAGGAAGCACCAGGTCCTGAAGCTGGCCCCCTGGGCAGCTGGCCCTGTGCCACCAGGACATCCAACGGGCCCTGAAGCTGGAACCGCAGCACAGAGCTGCCCAGGCTTTGTGGCAGAGGCTGCTGAGACAAGGCCAGGAGGCCAAAGCCCAGGCAGTGTTGAAGGCCCTGTGTGGAGACCTGCGTGGGGCCCTGTATGAGATCAGCTTTGCTATTGAGAGTGACCCGTTGGCTGCTGAATTCTTCACCCTCAGGTAGCGATTGTTTTGCTGCAGGTAATTAGCTGTACTGCTGTCTGAGTTTCCTTTCTCTGTCCCTGTGTCACAGGGGGACTCTCCTCCGACAGCTCAAGAACTTCAGTGCAGCCATCAAGGACTTGGTCAGGGCGAGGGAGCTGAGCACAGTGGGGAGCCCAGAGGCCCGGGAGGCTCAGCGGCAGCTGGTGCTCGCCTACAATGATTGTGCTGTGCACTGCTATGCTCTGGGCCAACTTGATGAGGCTGTAAAGCTCCTTGGTGAAGCATTGCAAAATGAAAGGACAGAGCAGGGACTCTACACCAACAGAGGAGGCAAGTGGCTGGGCTGGTTGTCACAGCAGGGTAACGTCAGTGGCTTGTGGATAATGCTGGGGTGTCACACAGCAGTGGCTGGCGCTGAGGCAGTGAATGTCTGCAGAGAGAGGCCTTGCTCTGCAGCCCTGTGTTAGAGACCTGTGGCAAAAGCAGGAGGTGGGGCAGCTGGGTTCTCCCTTGATCCTGATCCCAGTGCACTGTTTCAGCAATGGGAAGGGGTGAGGAGTGGGGATTTGCCACTGGTGCTACTACTCCTTCCCCACGTAGTATCTTCTGGGGCACAGCTGGCAACTGCTGCTCTCCCCTGGATCAGGCTGCATGTGCTGCTTGTTGCAGCGCAGACTTCGGCTATGATGCTGAAACCTGAGGAGGGCTGCACACGAGGTGTGTGTTTCCCACTGGTTCCAGATAAAGCCCTGGGGCAGCAGCCAGCCCCTCTCAGCCCTGCCGAGCCCTTCTTCTTCTCTGCAGACTGCTTCTTTCGCCTGGGGGAGCTGACCTACGCCATGGCGGATTACCAGCAGGCGCTGGAGCTGAGTCCAGGGAACCGTGCTGTGCAGGGCCGTGTTGCGGCTGTGTTGCATGAGAAGGGCTGGCAGGACGTGGCAGCCAGGTGAGAGCAGGGCGGTTTAGGCTGCTTGAGGGCCTGTGGTGAGCCAGACACACACTGCTGTCCCCTCGCAGGCGGTTCCTGCAGGCAGAAGCTTGCTTTTCTATGGCCATTGAACACGACCCCCAAGAAGCACTGCATTACCTGTGCCGTGCCGTGGCCAAGCGGTGCCTAGGGAAGGTGGAGAGCTCAAAGGAGGATGTTGCACACAGCCTGTGGCTCAGCGCCACGGATAGCAAGGTACAGCCCTGCTGCTGCTGCTCTGTGCCGTCCTCAGGCAACGGGCAGCATTCCTGGCTCAGCTGCAGGCACTGTGCCTGATGGTTGGGTGGTTTCTGTTCTGCATCAGGGCCACCTGCAGGGATCAAGGAACATGAGCTGGGGGACCTGCTAGGCTACAGGTCCAAGCCAAGCAGCAATGGTTATATGTTGGCTTTTACAAGAGTTTGGTGTTAGAGTCATTGGTCAGATTGTCTTCTGCTTATTCTCACTTTCTTGTTTCTTTAAATCTAATCCAGGGCAGAAGCCCTTCTGCAGCTGACTGCGGGCAAGGGGAGAGTATCCCCACACTGCTGCCTCCAAGCATTGCGCTGTCATAGCAGCACGGTTCAACAGATCTGGGATTTCTTTACAAAATAAAACCGAACAGGTTCCCTGTCAGAGCAGGTCCTGGTGAGGCTGTCAGGTGTTTGGCTGCAGCAGGGGAAACCTGTGGTGCAGAGCTCTTTGCAGGCAAGTTTTTCTGTGAGTGCTGATATGTCAGGAGGATGTTCAGGTCTTGCCTTGTTGCCACTGCAGATCCTTTCCCTTGCACGCCGCCTCTTTCCAAGGAGGACTGTCCAGGCTATCCTGAGGAGCCTTGGCCAACAGACCTCGGATAAAACACTTCAGAGTCCTCCAAGACTTCCATCTGATGATGCCTGATGGACAGAAGCAGTAGGTGTGTGCCGGTGGTGGTGGGGTAATTTGTCTTGGGTGTTAGCCTGCTGCTGCTGCATGCTCTCAACTGGGTTTGTTCAAACTCTGATGAGGGCTTTGCTCTGGAGCACAGAAGCACATTTTGGCTACTTAACTGCTGAATTACTCTTGTTGCCAAAGGCTTTTTGCCACTGTCTGCACCTAAAAGGCATCAGTAGGTTGCTGGAATGTCTACATGTGGGGAAACATTCCAAGCAGAACCTCGTTCCTTCTCAGCCCTCTTAGCTGAAGGCTCTGATGGGTGTTTGCTGTAGACCTGCGGCATTGCCTGGGCACTGGTGCCTGTCCCCAGGCTGCTGATGGCAAGAGAGGTTGTGTGGGTTTCACCTGCACTGGCACAGTCCTGGGAACAAGGCCTTGTATGCAGAGATGTGCTCTGCACAGGGGAAAAATGGGCTGCCTGCAGCTGTGGCAGGACAGACCTTGTGGCTTTCTTGTACCTACACTGGCTCCTCTGCAGGGTGTCAGGGCCAGCGACTGCTGTTTCACCTCCACCCCTGGGAAAGAAAGGCCACAGTCTTGTTTCCTGTTACCTAATTTATAGAGCATCATCTTTATGCCTCTAAATCCCCAAAGTGCTACTGCACCAGGCAGCTGTGCCCATGAAAATGCGAGTCTAACTCTGTCCATGATTGCTGCTGTTAGGAATCCAAGCAAATGACTGTTCCTCAACCATTTATTTCATAAAAGATTTATTTTAAAATTAGAAATGCTACCATTTCTGCAGGCAGGATGGTCTGTACATGGACCAGCTCCTGGGCTGCATTTAGGCTGTTCCTCCAATGGCTGCCCACGAAGCTGCAGGAAGCTGGAGGAAGGTTGGAATGGTCCTGAGTGCTAGCAGCTCATTTCAGCCCAGGGCACGAGAGGAACATCAGGGACCCTCAGCCATGTCCCCATTCACACAACCCCCTCAGGCAGCTCATTCTCACAGTAGGAATGATTCTCTGACCTGTGCTCCAGTAACCGACTGCAGAGATTAAAGTGGACAAAGGCCAGCAGTGCCATACACCCACCATGCTTGACAGCATGGAGTACAAACTTCTCTATCTTGTCCTCAGGTCCCCACATAAGTGGCACTCCTGTGGAGCTGAGCAGAGCTGGTTCTTCCAGTGCCTGCAAGGTCTGACCAGCAGAAGGACATCAAAGAAGCTCAAGAGCTCATAGCACCAATTGCTCAGCCTGCTGTAGAAATTACCATTGAATAAAGTATTGTTAAAAACCATCAGTGTCACCACAGTCTCCTCTGGAGGTAGGAATGAACTTTTTTTTTGTAAGTAAGTCCTGTTTTTTTTCATTTCCATGGTTTGCTGCAGAGAAATCCTTTGGACCTTGGGGGAAAGATGGGCAGAAGGACAAGTAGGGAAGCTGAGTTTTTGGCAGGCTGAGCGTTGCCATATTCCCTTGTTATGTCCCTATTTTTGTTGGTGCTCCCTACCAGCACCTATTCACAGTGAAAGGAAACTGGGAAGAAGTTGGCTCTAAAATTTCCTTTCAATGAAAAGGGTAATGTTGAGGGTGTTCACCAGCCAGCAACGCAGCAGTCAGCACCAGCACTGTCACGTTGTACCAAGGAACTGAGGTACTGCCATGCTTAAAAGATGGCTTTTAAAAATGCTAAAATAATGTATTAAAAAAAAAATAATTCCTTTTTGGGCTCAGAATCTTCATGCATTGGATAGCAGAAGCTGCCAGAAGAGGAGAGAGCTGCAGATTGGTGTTGCTGACAGGGTAAGAAGCCTCCCTGACACTGCAGTCTCTCCTGACATCTTCCCTTCTTCATCACAGGTACGACTCGAGTGGTGCACCAGGCTGGGCATAACCACCTTCACCTGGCCACAGAATAAATGATAAAGTGCTGTAAACCAAATCACTTGCACTTGCTCCCACAGTTGCATTCTGCAGTAGTGCCCTTGGGGCTGGAAAGACAAATTCAGCAGGAGGGCATTTGTGCTGCTGCATGGCAGCACGCAGCTCCTGGTGCTCGTCCCACCAGTCTGCAGCTTTACAGCCCCATAAGGATCTGAGCAAGGCTAGAAGAAAAAACTGATCCGAGAGGCTACAGTTTTGCATCCTGTTGATGAGAATAATTTCTCTTCTTCTGGGAAGTAGGGGATGCTGTCAGCCACCTCCTGGACAACACCCTGGCGTACTTCTAACCCTTGCTGCACAAGTTCATTGATGACGCATTGCTTTACGTGGTGGTGCTTCAGGGGGAGGAAGGGCACGACAAAATCAATGAGATGTTCATTAATAATCCCAGATTTCCAGAATCCACCTACAAAAGCAAAGGAGGAGACAGAAGATTTTACTTCTGGTGTCTGTGGTCCTTGGAATTCAAGGAACTGCTTTGTTTGAAGCCAGAGTACTCGGCTGAAGACAGATCTGCTCGTTTTGTACAAGGACTTAAACCAACAGCTGTCAACCCCTCCTTCCCCAGATCGATTTGTCTTTTCCCAGGAATGGTTAGGTTTAACTGAGCTGCTCAGATTTTAAGCTCTGCTCTGTGACAAGGACAAAGCAGGCAGCAAGGATTGATTCCCAGTGCCTTTTCAGTGAGTGTGCTGTGCTGTTTGCCATACTTTATCTGAATACACATTTTCTCCAAAGAATTTTGCTAAGCATGCTAACAGATTTGCTGGCTTGGGAAGCAGGCTATTCCTTCCCTCTGCCAGAAAACCTCGAGGAGCTCACCATTCCTTTCCCTTCAAATTTCTGTCCCCTTCTGCCTGCTTAGGAGATCCCAGAGAGCATCTGTGGCTGTGTGGAGTGGGCCTGGCTCCCTCTGCTGGGCTCTGCTCCCTGCTGAAACACTGCAGGTTCACTCACTCTGAGGGTTCTCAAACACGGCTTTGGAGATGGCTGCCTCCATGTCCTGCAGGCTGATCTCCTCCCGGTCCCGGTGGGCACGCCACAGATCCAGTGTCATTTCATTGATCTGCTCTCCTCCTGCGTTGCTGCAGAAGTAACAAGAATAAGACAACTTACTACCCAGGACAGTGGTACTGCAGGACAGAGGTGGCATCTGTCATCCTCCAGCCTGCGTGAGCTCAGTCCAGGCTTGCTCTGCTGCCTGGCCTAAAAGGACTCCTGCAAAGGCAAGCAAATAACAGGAAGGGGAGAGCTTTTTCAGACACTCCAATTCTGACTGTTCACGAGGAGATAACATCTGCTGGTTTCTGCAGAAGCTCAACGCTTGCAAAAGGAAAAGCAAAATGAAAGGGTGTTCTGAAGTAGGCATCGTGCTGTGCCCACGTGAGAAGCAGGGCACTGGAATGCCCCGTGATGCCCCACTGCCACACAGGGGCACCTCACCTTATGAAGATGAAGATGGCTTTGCGGTAGTTGGTCCCATACACGACCCACGAGGGTCCCAGGAACGGCATGATCACATCAATCAGGCCTGGGTGCATCTTGTCCATCTCCTCAAAGAGAAAGACCGACCGTCCGCACTTCGTCAAGTTCCCTTGGATCCAGTGCTTCAGGTTCTCCTAGGAAAAATACCCACCAGACCATAAAGCAGCGAGGGAGGCCTGAGCTACTGCAGTGCAAGGGCTGAGGTGAAGCACAGAAGCAGCTGTGCAGCACCACCTACTCAGAGCAGGAACAGCCAGCCCTGAGGCAGGCTGCTTTGTCCCGGGCCTGGCACGGCGACTTATCTGTGCCATTTATTAGCTCATTACAGGTCTTCTATTGCAGATTTAAAGCAGTGAGAAGGAGGCAGCAAACTAAAGCTGGGTATTCAGCCTCCTACAGCTCTCTACATTCTTCTCTTTCATTGCATTACAGTTCCCAGTTACTGGGAGGGAGACGTGCTTGCTGTCGCCTCCTTTTCTGGTGCAGAATTGTGTGCCTGCACCAAATGAGAACAGCTCTCCCCTTCCTTACTACAGCTGAAGTTACATCAGTGCCAACCCACACACGAACACTTAGGTCCCCTGGATATGAGTGTAACTCCTAATTGCATCGTTTTACCCAGCACGAGGCTTTACCCTACCGAGCACGTTTCTTGTAAGGATGCAAAAGAACACACAACTCCTCCAAACACCCAGAAGGAAAATATCCAGGTGTGCTGGTTTCCCCACTGCTGAGGTTTCATTTGGAAAACCTCCACCTTTGGATTTCTTGCCTCTGCCAGCTGCAGGAGCCACAGGTTAAGCTGTGTTTGGGAGCTCCTTGTTGGGTGAGGAGGGAATTAGCACAGCCGTACAGAGGTTTTCCCAGCTGTTGATTTGGAAAGCACAGAGACAATTTCAGGTGAAAGGCACTAAGTGAAACACTCTGGCTGCGTACTCAAAGGGCCGCGTAAATATTTAAAGAGGGAGAAAATGACAGCGAGAACGGCTGCTGGGAAAACAGAAGCGCATATCGCAGAGGTGCCTGCAGCCACTGCGTGGAGCCTTTGCTCCAATCTCTGGCAGAGGGCGAAGCACAGAGCCGCAGCCCTGCCGTCTTCTGGAGCAGCCTGAGCGTGCGCTGAGCGCCGGGACGGCCGCAACCCGCAGCGCGGGGCAGCGCTCACCTTGTACCGCTCCACGTGCTCCGCGTGGGGGAAGTGCACGATGGGGGAGAACTGGTGGACGTGGCGGCTCTGCAGCCCCTCGGGGAAGAGGTGCCGGACCAGCATGGAGCTCACGAAGGTTTTTCCCGTCCCGGTGGAGCCGTGGAAGGACATGACGAGGGGCTTCTCCGGGCTGCGCTTCTCCAGGAACCGCCTCAGACCCTTCATCAGCTGCTGCCTCACCAGGGGCTGCCCCACCAGGGTCACGGCCAGCTCGCACTCCAGACCTGCGGCAAAAGCAAATCCTTTACGAAGCGAAGGTCCGACGGCTCCCGTCCTGCGGTGGCCCCAACGCCGCCGCGCCACCCCCGACCTAGGATCGGAACCTAACCGCGCAGGTCGGGTTCGAAGCCGCACTCGCAGTCCTCCGTGAAGCTGCAGCGCAGTGCCCTCAGTGCCCACAGGTCCCAGGCGGCGGCGGCGGCCGAGAGCAGCGCCAAGCTTAGCGCCAGCACCGCCGCGGAGCGACACATGGCGGCCGCGGCTCCGGCACCGCCCGCACTACAGCTCCCGGCGTGCCCCGCGGGGCGCGGGGGAGGCGTGGCAACGAGGGAGTGGGCGTGGCCTAGAGCTAAGGGGCGTGGTCTGGTCGCATAGCCCCGCCCACACACGGCCCGATGTCACCGCTGTGTCTGCGCCCGTAGCCCCAGCCCTGCGTACAGCAAAGTGAGGGCGTCCCTCAATCCCCCTCCAGCAATGAGCAACCACGGCGTGCCGGTGTGGAGGAGTGCCTCCAGAGAGAGCGTAAAAGTTTATTGTATGTAAGAACCAAGGCCGTGAGCTATGTACATGTATTTACAGGACAAAATGCATGAGCCTAAGTATTTACACCAGGAACTGTCCGCGAATCTGTACATCCAGAAATGACCGTGGAAACATATTTACAAGTGGGACCCAGCAGCCATGGGCGAGAGGGAGATGGGAAGGGAAGGAACCTGAAAGAGGAGGAGAGGGGCACCATGCAGCCATGGACTGCGGCAGGGCTGGGTGATGGACGCTGTCCCCATCCCTTGGAGTGGCAGTGCCAGGGAGGTGAGTGGCGGATTGGAAGTGGCTGCTGTTCCTCCTCCTTGTCCCCACATTGCCACTGTGTCCCTCATGGAGAGGCTTTCCATTGCTGGGGGGGGGTTACAGCTCGCTGAAGCGCACTGCCGGCTCCAGCTTGTGGGACAGGGCAGTAAGGACCTTGTCGAACTTCTCGTAGCGTTCAGCCTGGCTGCTCTCAGCACCACGGCTGCCCCAGAGCAGCCGCAGCTGGAACTCGGTGCTGAAGATCTCCAGCAGTTCCGCTCTGCCCTGGAAACCTGCAGGGAGGGAAAGTCAGTCCCATGGAGACGGGATGAGGACCCTGCACCTGCGGGACGTTCCATCCAGCACTGCCACCGGTGAAGGGAAAAGGGCCAACCCCATCCCCATCTTGCTTACCCTGCAGCTTCACCTCGGCGTTGGTGTGGTACAGACCGCCGTGGTGGGCCACCATCCGTGCAGCTTCCAGGTGGGCCATGACCACCTCCACGCCATTGTCCGTGGCCTCCCAGGGCTCAGGGCTGTCCATCAGCGCGTCGTCCCGCTCCAGAAGAGTCACCAGGGGCATGACGTGGGGAAAGGTGGTGTTGGTCAGCGGTGGCCCTTCTGCAGAGAGAGGCTCCGTGAGCACCACTCATGACCCTGACGCTGGTGGGTACGTGGCTCAGTGCCCCCCCATCCTCCTCATCTTGCACCCTGTCTGCCCTGGACCCACACAGCACTCCCACGACAACACAGCCCTATGGAGCTGGGCTGCCACCACACTCCTGGGACAGAGTTCTGGCTCAGCTGCAGCACAGACATGGCTGTGGTTCTGAAGAAGGCTCTGCTTGCGGCCATCATTTCATCCAGCACCAGCCTTTCTGCTTGTGCCCAGGAGAGAAGCATTGCTGTTCCTGCTCTGGCAGTCTGTGTGTCCCAGGGCTGCAGCAGTGGGTGAGCAGTGGGCGAGCAGATCCCAGGGTGCTGCGTGTGAGGGAGATGCAGCTTTTCATCCTCCCTGCCCACAACTGGCCGCTGTTCCCTTGGCTTGGCACGCATTGCCATGCGAGCACAAGGATTTGGCTCGGCTGAGCCATGTTTGTGCCCAGCTGCTGGTTTTATTTAGTTATGAAATGCTTCCCTGGGAAAGAAGGGGCAGCTGAGGCCAAGCAGGCGCTGCTGGGGCTGCATAGAAGCAGGCGGGAAGTGTCTGGCCCTGCTGGGAGAGGGACGCAGCTCTCCAACATGTGCCCCCCTAGCAAGGATGTGCTTGGCTGAACCAGGAGCTGCCCTTCTCACCTTTCCCTTCATTCAGGCTCTTCAGGAATGGCTTCAGCTTCTTCTCATAGAGGATGGCACCCTCTGTGTGCCGCTGCCGCAACACCATCCAGGTCTGCTCCAGCCGTGCGATCTGCAAGCAGAGGGAAGTGCTGCTTCTGAGCCTTGGCACCACGACCACAGCTTCTGCTGCAGGCACTCATGGCCAGAGACTGCATGGCCCCGGCACCAGGCTGGGCTCAGTGCTTTTTCTCCTGCCATGCCCCAGGACAGCAGCCTCCCCGTGCCGCAGAGGCCTTGAAGATGAGATGCAGGGAGGGAGCAGCCGTTCCACTGCCTCTGAAGGCAGGAAGTAAGGCTTCCCAGCTGGGCTCGATTTAAAATTGAATTTTAATCTTTCATCTTCCAAAGGGAGCAGTGTGGCCTGGAGACGCTGCTGCCACGGCCTTGAGACTGATTTGTATTGTACTGGAGGGTAGATTCATTTCCTCTCAGGAACAGAACCCAGCACAAAACAAAAAGCCCAACCACTGACAAACAATCACATCCTGGCAGCACTGGCTGTCTGCTCCACAGAGGGGATGGCTCTTTCTCTTCTCTGCTTACTCCCCAGCAGATGTGGCCCCACAACTCTGCTGGGCCGTGGTCCCCCTCCTCCCACCCCAATGGTGGGCCATGGGGGCAGGGGGCGTTTAGGAAATGGGCTGAGCCCAGGCCACGGGGACGAAGGCAGCATCCCCGTACCTGTGCCATTTCCAGGGCGTTCATCACAGCCGCAAAACTGAACATGTTGCCCATGGTGCTCTTCAGCTCGGCAGCCAGCTGGATGGTTTTGTGGAGCAGGGCTGCCCGCTCCTCTGTGCTGCCCGTGCAGCCCAGAATGTCCACGGCGATCATGATGGACATGGTGTGGAACCTGTTTCAGGGCGAGAGGCTCAGCATGGGGGCAAAGAGCTGGGGGTTCTCCTGCCACTGCCCCAGCATGGGTGTTCAGCAGGACCCCAGGAGGTGTGATGTCCCCCTGTGCCGAACTGGGGCACCCCAGGGGAGCTGGGTTGTGCCATACCGTTCCAGCAGGTCGAGCCGAAGCTGGTGGCCATGGGGCAGGGTGAGCAGCTCCATGCCGGAGCTCACCCCCATGAGCCGCTGCATCTCTGCAGTTACACCCAATATCCGAGCAACCTGGCAAGAAAGGTGAGAGGTGATTAGAGCTGAGCGGCCTCGGGCAGTCCTTTGCCCCAGCCCAGCCTCTGCCAGCTGATGCGGGCTGACAGAGCTGAGAGCAGGGATGCTCAGGCATTCCAGGGCTCAGAGGCACTGTTTCCCAGGTAACCTGGAGCAAATGGAGGGCAGCAGTGCCCGTCCCTCCCGCCTGGCCCCGCCGTACCAGACAGTCCACTTTGGTGATGTGTTTGGCGAGTGTCTTCGCATCCACATCCGCCAGCAGCTCTTTCACCTTCTTGAGCACAGCCATCTCCAGGGGCTTGTTCTCCAGGGGGATGAGCAGGGACTGGAATGCTGCCGGGTTGAAGGAGGAGCACGTCTCCACCGTGGGGGGCACAAAGCCCGCAAAGTCCCGCTCTCCTTTCAGCCTCTGCCCTGCCTCCGCTTCCCCAGAGCCGTTCTCCACAGTCCCTCTCTGCCCTTCCTCCACCTTTAGCCTTTCCACGTAGCTCTTTGCCGGCAGCTGCTTGGTGTCGTGAGCCGGCCGCTCTCTGCTGACGGGTGAGGTGGGGTGCAGCTGGCAGTAGTGCCCCGTGTCGGGGTCACTGTAGCTGTTCACAGAGGGAGAGGGGGAGGCGCGGGCGTAGCCGTGGCATGGCGTGGAGTGGGTGCTGTGCGCAGGGTCTGGCAGAGGTTTGTTGCTGCTACTCGGGCAGAGCTGGGGCTCACTGGACCTTCTGATGACCGGGGAGGCCGGGGTGATCCCAGCTGCTTGGCAGGTATGAGGCTTTAGCCGTGTCACTGCAAGGAGTAGGAGAGAACTTGTCAGCAGAGCCTGGAGGTATGCACACACCAAGGATGCGCTGAGTATGGAGGGCAATGCTCCATGCCCAGGGGCTTGTCTTACAGCCAGCTCTGCCCCCTTCCCAGGCTCATGTCTGCGCTGAGCTCAGCCTGAGCCACGTCCCGCTGTGCCCATGCAGTGATGCCTACCTGTGCTGTATGCAGGTGAGGTGGGGTTCTCTGAGATGGGTGACATTGGGGAGTGCAGGTCCTGGATCTGGTCCACGCTGACAGCACAGTTGCGGATGATGTCCCTGTGGTGTGGCAGGGACACGCTGGGGAAGGGGAAGACGGAAGCATCAGACTCTGAACTTAGTGCCAGAGCAAAGGTGGAGGGGTTGTGACTCTCCTCCCTACAGGCATCAATATCTTCTATTACCACAGCAACGAGTTGAGCCCATAATGAGCTCAGCTGGAGCCATGAGCAGGGCATCTCACCCCGCAGCTGGAGCAGAAGGAGCCAATGCCTACAAAATGCAGAGCCAGCCCTACCTGCAAGGAGTCTGGTCCTGGGAAGAGAAAAGGGCACCTTGATGGCAAGGTATTGGGATAACATGGGATGGGATGGGATGGGGTGAATCCAGGATGCTGTGAGGTCCAGCATAGGAGTGGGAAAGTTTTCTAGCATTGTGGTGCGTGGGTGCAAGGCAATATCTCATGCTGTGTGTGTTTTTAAATCTAAGAGCTGCATGGCAGCTAGATGAGCTGTGGTGTTCTCTCCCAAAGCTGGGGAGCAATGCAACGTGCCTGAAGCTGGATGAATGCCCAGCCGGCTCACAGTGAGAGCTGGGAGATGGTGTGGTGGTGAGCTGCATGTATGCTTCTGTAGCAAGCTAGGAGGTCTTGTGCCATTGGGGCAGTGGTTATAGCCTGACACAAACACCGTGAGTCAGTGGTGTTGCAAAAGTTGCTGTGGTGGGCTGAGCAATGTGAGCACTGCAAGAAAGCAGGGCAGGCAATCTGCCCTCCCTGGCATAGGCTGCTGTGATGTGTTTGCAGCCCGGAGCTCTGCGTGTCTGTGGTGGGAGCAGGATGGGAGAACAGCTGTGATGATGAGAAATCTGGGGAAAACGTGAGCGATGAGGAAAGGTTGATGGGTTTGGGCTCTTCTGGATGTGTGTATGTTCTCCTGAAAGCCCAGGTGTTTCTGTTCTCCCTGCAGTAACAGTTTGGTTGCCTGTTTTCTGCTGGTGTGTTCCCACCCTGCCCTGGGGCTGAGAAGGTTGGGGTGGTGAAAAGGCAGCCTGGCTTGCAGACAGGTGGACAGGCTGCGCCCGCTGGGGACACGTGGTGATGCAGGTCCCCTGGCCTCTGTGCAGGGGTGTAAGTGTGCTCTGCCTTCCCTGGGGCCTGGGTATCCTGAGGCTGCCAAGAGGAAGCCATATGAAGGAAATCTCCTTCACCCCCTGTGAAACCTGGCTGTTGCAAGGTGTGTGTGACCTGGGCAGCCTCCTTACAGGCTCAGTGTGGCTGTGCAGACCCCATCCACACAGCTCTGTCATCTCCTCTTAGTAATTCCTTGCAAATACCCCAGTGGAAAAGGCTCTAAAATGAAGTTGGGTCAGAAGCAAGCCACCAAATGCCCTCATGGTGCTGGCTAACACTCCTGCATCAGCCTGGGAAAGCTCTGACAAGCTCTGACAAGCAGGCAATCCTGGACTGGGTGATATAAAACACCCTCTGCCTTCTAGCCTGTGTGATGGCAAGCTGTGCGCTGCAGTGGTTCAGCATGGCTGGCAGCCAGACTGGGAGAAAGCCCCACTTCCAGCTGGGTACTGGCTCCTCTCCCTGTGCCCCCGCTGGTTTCCATGTCTGCACTGTGGCCGCTTCCACCCCCAAGCCCTGCTCCTGCCTCATCCTCGAGGACCGATCCCCTGCACCCACCTGGTGGAGCACCCTTCGGCCCTGGTGATCTTATCGGCCGTCAGCCCGTCTGTCATGGTGATGCTCCTCCTCTTGATGTGCCCTCCCTTCTGGGAGGCCGGGCTGTGGGACCCCCCGTGCTTGCCGTTGGCGAGCCCATAGCTGGCCTCCAGGTAGCGCAGGGGGAAGGTGCGGTTGATGGGGCAGTAGACGATGGCACCGCTCTGTTCGGAGATGGCCTTGCGATTGCCCACGTAGAAGCGGACGAGGGCGGGCACGTTGTCAAAGCTCTCCTGCTCAAAGAGGTACTGCACGCGGCTCCGGCTGTCGCTGGACTTCACCGTCACCTTGTTGATCTTGAAGTGCAGGGGCTCGTTGCGCCAGCGGCACGTCAGCACGTAGTCACCCAAACTGGTGAGCGAGTCGCGGATGAGGAAGTCGCCGTTCCTCTGCACGAGACTCTCTGAGACCTGGCAGGGATGGGGGCAGCGGCTCAGGCACGGCCCTGTTGGCTGCACCGGCGGACAGAGGTGGGTGCTCCACCAGGGCTGTTATTTAGAGCGTTCCCCTCATCCTGGCTGTGAGTTTCAGGAGTTTCCCCGTGGCAAACCCACGCAGCCCCCGCCCTCCCCATCCTCACCTCCCGCGGGATGCGGCCGTGGTACCACGCGTGGCTGCGCAGGTCGGTGCTGCTCAGCTTCAGCTCCTCTTCCAGCTCCTTGTGAAGTTTCTCCGGTGACGAGTCAAGGATGTATTTCTCCTTGGAGAACTGCAGAGCGAAGAGAGAAAGCATCAGCTGGGGTTCTGCCACAAGCAGCGCAGCCACTTCCTTGCAGGGTCTGAGGGACGCTGTCCCCTATCCTTCCCACTACCGGTGCCTTCCACATCCACTGGATACGTTGGCTGCAGGGTCTGGGAAGGAAAGGTCTGGCCCTTGGGTGCTGGTGAATCCCAAGGGCAGCGCCTGTGTGCTGGGACTGCACAGATCTCCCAGGGAGGAATGTTTATGATGTCACCTACCAGGAAGAGACCTGGGGACAAATGCCTGCCCAGCTCCCTGTATTGCACATCCTGGGCTGAACCACTGTGGGAAGCACTTCTCCAGGAGGAAACTCGCGTTGTTCCTCCTCCCAGAGACATCCTCCTCCAAAGGGTTAACTCGGCTGTGTTTAGCCTGACAGCAGCATGAATAGTAATGACAAATGTAAAGGAAACCTTCTGCATCGAAATGAGCTCTTACCAGCACTGGTGCACCTGAGCCTGGAGGATGCAATTTCCCCTCCTCCCTTCCCTGGAGAGATAAGGATGGCTTCACCCCTCCCTCAGCCACGCTCCCTGCCACCACAGTGGGGACATTCCCTGAGGGCATGACATGTGTGAGAGGGGGATGTGTATGCCACCAGCACAGCAGTTTGGCTGGGGCTACCGGGGTGTCCTGTTGTGCTGGCAGCCCCTGAGCCCTTCGATGCATGCTTCCACCCATGTCAGTGTTGCTTGTGTGAGCTCAGGTGGCTCGGTGGCCTGGCTCCAGCTCCTTGGATCCATGGTGCTTGTTAGAGTAGCACCGCTGGTGCCTGTGAGCTTGAAGCTGGTGCCCAGTGGCACTGCTCTGGCACAAATAGCTGGCTTTGCATTGTTCCCTGGACCACCAGGGGCTTCAGTCTCAGAGCAGGCTCTTTGCACAGCACCTCAGCCAGTTTCTGCTTCTCGTAGCACAGAGCTGATCTCCCAGCCTGTGCCCTCTGCTCCTGAGACTCACTGTCCCCCTGCCCACCACCTCCCCATCCTGGAGCTGTGTGTATCAGCCAAGTTGGGCAGCAATCCCATCCCAGGGACAAGGCTCCAGGCTGAGGAGGTGGGAGGAAGAGGCAGGGGAAGAACAGCACGATGGCCCAAGCTCTCCAGGGCTTGCCCTCACCGGCCTGGACCTGCTTCTGTTCCTCCCTTCCAAACTGCTAATGAGTTTTTTTAAAAAATAAATATTAGGGCAGTGGAAGTGAAAGTGAACAAACTCGGGAGTGCTCCTCTGGCTTCAGTTCCTCCCCAGAGGAGGGTTCTGCTTGCTGGAGCAGCGGGGATGTGAACATGAGACACGTGGGTCGCATACTCCTGAGCACCTCTGCTGCCCCGGGGCCCTCGAGGAGACAAAGCCATGTGGCACAGCTGAACCCTATGAAAAATAAATGGTCACTGGCGGATGCTGCTGAGTCTGGCTGCATCCTGGGGGGCTGAGGCTGAAGCAGATGCCGTTTCCATGACAACACTTTGCTTGGTGTGAGCAGCCATGGGTGCCCCGTGCTGCAGCAGCGCCCCGCAGTGCTGCCGGCCCCAAGCACCAGGCTGCTGCCTGCATGGGATCTGAGGGTCCCTGCTGAGCCAGATTGTTGCTGGGAGAGCTTTGGAGCTGATGCCCCCAAAGAAGGGATTAGCACCCACCCTGCTCCATGCTGTACATCTGGGTTTTCTCCCAAATCCTCCCCATCAAATGCACAGGATAACAAACACAAACCCAGCTGAGCTGCGCCTGGCGTCTCCAAGCTGGGATTTGGGCAGCAGCCGGCTGGCAGCCGCGCCAGGTGCTGAGCTGGGGAGAGGCATACAGGGCTTTGTGCCCTGCAGTCAGGGCAGCAAGGACAGCTGTGAGCAAAGGGACCCTAAGCCACGTGATGGGCACTGTCCCTTCAGCTGCTTGGCTGGGAAATGAGGTCCCATCCAACTTTTACAGCCACCAAAAAGCCATCATTCGGTGACTGCAGCCACTCCAACCAGGACCCTGGTGCATGAGGAGCCTTCTTCTTTGGTATGATGGCACTCTGGGGGCTGTCCTCATGCTTTACGTCGGCTTCGTGCTGCTCTGCTTGGTGCCATGTCTCAGAGGAGGCTGTGTGTGGCTGCCAGCTGGCATGGCGAGGCGGCCGGCCCGGCACTGTCAGCAGCGTGTAAGCGGATGTGCGAGCACTGAGCTGAAAAGGGCACCGCTCGGTGCTCTCTGCTGTGCCAAGAGCACATCAAAAGATGTACAGCCCGATGTGAGGTCTTGCATGCTAGAGAGTTGGCTGTGGAGAAAATCCTCAACTTCCACCAGCGCTCAGCTCAAGTGCGTGATGCTGGTCGCCCGCTCAGAGCCCCAGCGCTTCCTCCTGCTGAGTGGGATGGGACAGGGGTGAGAGCGGTTCCCCAAACCAGCCAAACCAGCTCAGGAGCTGCCAGAGATGGTGCCAAACTCTGCCTGAGGAATCCTAACCAGCAGCCAAGGTGGTTTGGCTGGTGAAAGGAAAGCTCTTCCATCACATTCAGCAGCAGGCAGGCTGTTTCATGAGCTGCGGGTACAGCAAAGCTCACCAGGAGGGGATTCCCTGGGCACTCCATCCCTGCTCTCCTCTTTCCCTCTACCTGCTGCTTTCTTGGCAGAGGAAGCACCTCTGGTCGCAGCTATGGACTAGAATTGGCAGCCAAAGGGCAAGAGCTGGGGGGTGGAGGATGCTGACAGCTGTGGTCTGTGTAAAACAGTGGCTCTGCCTGGTGTGAGGAGAGCTCCAAAATCTGGCACTTGGCTTTCTCTCCTTGCAAAGGTGCTCTTATGAAACAGGAGTAATTTGCAGCCTGCTTCCCAGCTCCCCCCTCCCAGACCTGAAGCAGCTGAAGATGAAGTCAGCGTGGAGAGCAAGGTGTAGAGCACCCACCCACCCCGCGATAACATCTCCTGGCTATCCTCAGGGCACAACGTGCAGCTGCTCTCACTCTCCTGCTGCCTGCCCCGAAATGGGACCTTCACTGGGGAAATCCCAGCCCTTACTGTTGCTCTTCCAACCCCCAACTCCTGCTGTTGGAGCAGACGTGGGGCCTGGGAAGCAGAACTAGGAGGGAATGGATTAAGAAGCCACTTGGAGCAGGTGTATGGGCAAAGCCTCAGAGTCACCAAAGAGCCTTTCTTCTCTGCTTAGCTCTGCACTGGACGATGGACTACTTCACAGCAAAGGATTTTAAAACAAACATCCTTGTCGAGGCAGCCAGCATGCTAGCAAAGCTGAGCGCTGCTCTGCTTGCCTGGTGCAGGTCTCCTGTGTTCACCAGTCTGCCCAGTGCTGCCTGACCTCCCTGTGTGCCTGAGAATGGCCAACCCTGAGCGAGAGAAAAATCAGGTTGTCGTGGGGTTGCTCCTCACCTGCATGTAGTTCATCTTACTGATTTTGATGTCCCTATGGAAGAGAAATAGTTTTTTCCCTCTGAACTGTCTTGCAATGACTCTGGGTGTTTAAACAGACTCTGAGAAGGCACGTGCCCATCTCATGGGTCACTGGAGGCAGCTCTTGGCTATGCCACATCTCCACTGCTCCCCACTGAAAGCACGAAGACTCAGAAGCCGTCCTGGTGCTCGAAGCCTTTCTTAGGAGTGATCCTGGCCACCCAAAGGGTCTCCTTTGTGGCAGCTCTGGAGCAATGATGTCTGGCTGGCAGGGGTGGGGTGCAGCTGGGAACATCAGGATGCTGCAGGGTGGGACGGATGCCCAGCTCATGCTATGGGGTGGTGCAGAGGAGCACATCTCCAGTGCGGTATGGGGTGTGTGTGTACACACATCTCCATCCATCTCTATATTACTTATCTCACTCTGAGACGGCGGCGGCTGCTGCTGCTGCATCCCTTTTCAGAGCTGCTATTGGCCAGAAATGATGTCAGTGCTTCCCAGGCTGGGTGCACTGCCATTGGCGGCGAGCAGGGATGCGGCTGTCAGCTGGAAGCGCTCCAGTCATTCATGGGGACTTCAGTGTGTGTTTGCTGGGCACACTTGGACACAAATAGATGGTGAAGGATCTGGCAGAGCCAGGTGAGCGCTTAGGGCTTCACTTTTAACTGTTTCTGTGGCCGGGATGGAGTGCCCTCCATCCCCTCCTGCATCCCTGCATGAAGGCCAGGCACCCACCTGTCCCTCCCTTGTTCTGGCAGCAGCTCGCCACGATGCTGTGGTAGGGCACATCCCCTGCTGTTGCACGGTGGCCCTCTGACAACCAGAGGAAGCTCCTCTGCTTCTCTCCATTTGCCCCCACTCAGCGATCACAATCCCTGGCTCTGCACCGAGACCAGCAGCAATCATGACAAGACTTGAAATGCTTCCTCTGGGTTCTGAGTTACCCAGCATAATCTCTACAGCTCAGCACCCACCTCCTGGAGCAGTACTGAATCAGACTGCCAGTTCTGCTGGCTGCCAGCTCCGGGCGCTTCTCACCCTTTTTAACTTGCAGCACGCCAGCAGCTCGTGTCAGAGTCTGCATGGCTCTTACATTGCTAAGCACCTTTGCTCACTGGGTAAATGAGGGAACAGCTTCCTGGCGCTCTGTCCCTTTCTCAGCTTGTGCAAAACGCCAAGAATCCAAAAATAGGATGTCTAGAGGTGGAAGTGCCACAGGACAGGTGACAGATGGATGCCGGCTCTCTGTAACACCGCAGTACAGACAGACCCAGGCCAGAGAGCTGTGTGCCAGTCGGGGCCGAGCCTGCTGGTGCTCCCGAAGCACCTTTAAAGCCGAGCACTCCCCCTGACCGGCCTCGCTGCGGGCGAGCGATGCTCTGCGCCAGCCGCTCCGTCAGAAGTGCCGGTCCAGCGCTCCGGCTTCGGCTTCAGTATCCCATCGCATAGCGGAGCCGAAGCACCTGAGCGGGGAAGCACCGAGGACACGAGGGCTTGAAGCGCCCGCGAGCCACGCAGCGCCCTACAGAGAGCGGCCCCAAGGTCAGCGCTGCCCCCGGGGCTCTTCGCCCCACGCGACCCCCACCCCGCCCCGCGTGCGGGCACCCCGGGCTGCCGGCATCCGCGCCGCTCCGCTCACCTGCACCTGCATGAAGGAGCCGCGGTAGAAGCAGCAGGCGGCGGCCGACAGCGCGCTCCATAGGCTGCAGCGCTCCGTCATGGCGAGGAGCGGAGCGGCGTGCCCGGCCCGGGCTAACCCGGCCCGGCCCGGGCTGCACCGCCGCTGCCGCCGCCGCCGCCGGGCTTCAATTTCAGCCGCTTTCCCGATTACCTCATCCCTTGTCGGCGGAGATGGGAGGCACCGAGGATGCGGCTCCGCCCCGTACCGCCCCGCCGGGACCCGCGGCCGCCACAGCGGCGCTCAGCGGCCGAGAAGCGGCGTCCGTGGGGGAGCGGCGCGGCGGCACCCAGGGGTCCGACCTCGTCGCCCCCGGGGGAACCGGCCCGTCGGGGGCAGCGTGTCCCCGGGAGACTCGGGCGGCCCGCTCAGCTGCGTCCTGAAGGAGCCGGAGTGCCCGAGGAGATCCGTCCCCGCTGGGAGGAGCGGCAGCCCCTCCAGGGGACCGTCGCCCCTCGTCTGTGCCCTGCCCTTCCCAGTGACACGCAGCGAAGGGACGCTCGGTCCCTCACCCCATCCCTCCTCACGCTCCTCATCCCAGTGCTGACACTGGCCGTCTGCTTCCCATGTCGGCTGTCTCCGAGTTGCGTTTAATTAAGGCTCTGCTTTGGTTTAATTAAGGCCGTGGTTTCACGGGCTGCACGAGGCGGCGCGGACGGCTCTGAGCCCCGCAGCCCCCACCGCTGCTCCGTGAGCTGGGCCCGGGGTCGGGCTCCACGTTCCCTCCGCTGGGGGCCTGGGGACAGCAGTAGAGGCGTCCTTGCTGCCACCCGCGTGGCCTCGATGCTAATTAATCCAGCCGAGCCCCACGCATCCCCAGGCAAGGAGGAGGCAGGCAGGGCTGACGAGATACGGGTCTCCAGAGCACAGAACAAAGAGCTTCAACGCTCTCGCTGGGCCCGAGCTCTGCCCCTTCTATTACAAGGGGGCCCGCGAGTGCCCGCAGCCCCAGCAGCAGTGCGGGCGCCGGGGGATGGAACAGATGGGAGACGCCGCACTGCGAGGATCCGACGGTGAATCACACGCCGGCAACGGCTGCTCCTCCGCAAAGGGCTCGGCTGCTTCCCTCCCGCGGCGGATCCGATGGAGCAAGCTGGAGCCGTGCCCGTGCTGCCCCTTCGCAGGAGCAGAGGAGGCTGCAGCCGATGGCTGGCTGGGACATGCGTCAGCCTGACAGCGCGATGCGGTTCTGCAGCTCCCTGCCTTCACCTGCACGAGGCTGAACGCTGCTGGGTGCTGAGCACCCCAACCAGGCAGGGCTGCAATCAGCCCGAGCGCCTCGGATGATTCGGTCTCACGCACTCCACATTATTACTTATTGGACTAAAATAGCTGCTGTCGCTGCAGCCTTTGGGCTGCTTCCATAGCCAAAGGGAAGTGGTGTATAAATCACACACGCTGCCCGTGGGCTGCATTGGACACCGCCGGGGTGGGTGAGAAATAAAGCCAAATGGATGACTTCTGGCACGTGCTCTTAGACAACAAAAGATGATTCGATCCTATAGGCAGTGCCCACTGCTCCACACCAGTCCATTAACTCACCAGCCATGCAACGCGCCCACCTCTGGGTGCACACACTGGCAGAGGGACCTTTCCCTATGAAGTAAGATGCCCCAGTCCTTCTCAAACAGACCCCCAGAAGGCCATCATGTGGCAGCATGCTGAAACAGGCAGCTTTCCAGCCCTCCATCCCCAAAACACGGCGTCCTGGTGGTCATCACCCTGCTCCTGCCCAGTTTTCCCCACCCCACGGTGCCAGCAGCCTCCTGCAGAAGGGCCGGCTCTCCTCTGGAGCCAGGCGCCTCGCTAATGAATTTCTGGCCAGACATGAAGAGTCCTCAGGAATGTTAATAGTTTGCTGGAGGATAAGCAAGAGATTTGGAGAGATTTACACCGACTTTCATGTGACAGCCCCACGAAAGTGGCTCAAACCCTTCCTTTCCTACATGGGGGTGGAGGGAGGAGGCAGCGGCAGTGGCGAGTGATGGGGAGCACAAAATGCAGGGAGCAGTGCTGGGGGCACCATGCATGGTTTGCATGATTTCTGGCAGGAAATGTCTTCTGAGGACAAAGAGAGCCCAGAGAAGGTGATGGTCTTACCTTCACGTATTCGCTGCCGGACTCCAGGCCATCATGGTGGCTAGAGGGGGGAAAAGAAAAACACATGAGCAAAGGGCAGCAAGTTGTGCTGAGGAGGTGGTGGCACACAAGGCCCCATGCCCTCACTGCCTGCCTCGTGCCCACTCGGGACACAGCTTAGCCTTCATAATGCGATCAGGAAAGAATGGGCCTTTTTATGGGGTCGCTCCCCAAATCAGCTTGGGGCCGGATGAGCGGGGCCTGGCAGAGGTCAGGGTGCTGGGGGCTGTGCAGGGGCAGAACCACTGAGTGCTGCTGGGATGCATCACCTGGGCAGGCATTGCTGACTGCTGCTCTACAGCTTCGTGCAACTCCACAGAGATCAAACGGTCACTGAAGGATGGGTGATGCTGTGGCTCAGACTGAAACTCCCACTCTCCTTGCTGGCACGTTCACTCTTAACCCTACTGACAACAAACCCAATGACAATGAACCCAGTGCCTGACACACAGCTGCTCTGGCCACTCCTGTGCCATTATTTCACGGAGGAAACTGAGGGCTTTTCTCTTTCCTGAGGATTTAGCAGTGCTGTGACTGCCTTTTGTGCACCTGTGTGTGTCTGTGGATGAGCCCAATGGAAACAGGAGGAAGTCTGAGGATGGAGAGGTTAAAACGGAGCTGGGAAGGGAGGCCCTGGGGATGCCCGAGGTGGCGGCCACCATGTGCTGACCCACTGGTGGCTCTGCACTGGGACAACATGAGCCCCACGAGAGCTGTGGGTGCCCCCACCCTGCATTCTTCTCTTCCCTGTGCCCACCCTGCTGCAGCGGCATGAGAGAGGAAAAACGGAGCTGGAAACTGGGGGTGAAAAAGTGAGAAGAGCATTTGGAGGGGGGCACAGCTGCTTCGGGCAGCTGCGGGCTGCCTGCCCACCCCAGCGCTGCCTCTGCAGCCTGTTTGCCTTTCACACGGCCGCAGAGAGAGCCTGGTGCTGTGAGAGCCGTGAGAAAAACCGGCGGGAGGACGGGGGCCTCTGGGCAGGAAATCAGGAGCATGAGAGCAGCTGGGAGACGCCGTGAGGGGGGGGGGGCTGCTGCTGGGGAACGACAGCAGCTGCGGCTGGGGAGAGCGGGGGCTGCAGCCCCCCCTGGTCTGCGCATTCCTGGAGGAAACGGCATTTTTTGGGGTAGCGAGAGCCTGGGAGAAATTCCAGGGCTGCCTTCAGAGCGCGGTGCGGTGGCCGAGCTGCTAAGACTCGGAGCTCCTGCTTGGGGTTTCTGCTGCTTTGGGATCCGGAACAGCATCGTGATGACCTGCAAATGTGCCGGCTCTGGGCTGGAGAACATCACGGTGAGGTTCCAGCCCCGTATTAGAGCCTAGGCTCTGCTTGTCTTTGAATAGCAGGACTGTGCCCCAAGGGAGCTACTGTGCCTCAGTTTCCCCTCTGCATCCACAGGGCAGAGCTGCCTCCTTCGAGCTCCGGGCTGGAGGTGCTGTGCAGGGTTTGCCAGTAACAGCAGTGCCCTACCCGTGCCCTGCGGGAAGTGGGATTTCCTGTGCCTGGAGGGAAGCTGAGTCACATCTGCCCGGTGACCTGCCTGTGGGTCACCTCCTGTTGGTCACTGTGTCCCTGCTGCGTCCCTGCTGGCGTCACTGCTACTCCTGCCCAGCCACCGCCCGGCTCTGAGCATCCCCAGGGCTGGTCACTGCTCTGTCTCAGCCAAGTGCAATTCCAAAGGGGCCTGATTCTGCAGGAGTATCCCTGCAAAAGCACTCGTATGCGTGGGTAACCTCGGCCCACCTTGCCTCAGGAGCCTGAAACTCGACCAGGAGACTTGGAGATGCTCCAGGAATGGACAATGTCCCCAAGGGCCACGTTTGTCCCCTCCATGGTCCCTCTGTACATGCAGTACCCATGTCTGTACTGCATGTTCTGGGCAGCCATCCCTGGCCCCCCCTACAATGTCCTGGCAGGGAGGGACTGTCCCTGTCCCCAAGGAAGTGCCTGCACAGGAGGAAGGGCTGGGGAACAGCACTGTCCCAGCCCTGCTTCCGCCAACCCACTCTACGACACAGCCCGGCCATGGGGATGGCTCCAGCACACGACCGCTCCCTGAGCCTGGAGCAGAGCACAAAGACCCCCAGTGCCAAGCCCTGCTCCAGTCACTCTCGTGCCTCAGTTTCCCCAGCAAATTACATGCCCGAGCTCATCAAGAGAGCAGCCCTGGATAATACAAAAGGCATTTGGTGCTCAGTTTTTGGAGAGCCAAGTCCACACGCTGGCAGTCCCCAGAGCCAAGGCACCTAGGTGGCTGACAGATGTTCCCATGCCACTTGGTTCCCACTCATGCCAGCCAAGGAGCTAATTCATTTGTGGGAAGGAAGTACCCTCCATGGGTGCTCCAGAGTCCCAAGCCCCCAGACTCTGAACCCCAGGGACACCCACAGCCCCAAGCTGCTCTGTCCCAGCACTGGGTCACAGCCAACTGTGGTTTTGGCAGCCGCAGGCGATGCTCTCGCTCTTTCCATCAGCAAATGCCGGGCCCTCGGTGGCTCCTCCAGCATTTGCATCGAGGCTTTGTGCACCCCAAGCAAAGTCTCTTCCCATCCCTTCCTCTCCCTCCCCATCCTCTGCGCCGTGCCGGGGTGTCAGACCCTTACCTGCCCTGTCCCAGGGTGGGAAACCTCCTGCCCACCGCTGTCATCGGCTCAGCCAGCGTCTCAGCTCCGGGATGGGGAGAGAAGCTCTGCGGGCGCTCCCGTGCCTGGCTCTGAGCCGGGACGTGGGGCGCGGGCGGTGGCGGACCCTCCTCCTTCCCGTCCCAGCCCTCCTCCGGCCCTCCCTTCGCGGCCGGCAGGAATGTGAGGCCGGTTCCCACCGCCGGCACGAATTCCTTTTCCTTGCCCCGATCCCGGCGCCGTGCAAAACCCCCCAGATGTCAGTGTGTGCCTCATTGGTGCGGAGTTAGAGGGAATTTGGGGCCGAAATGGAGATTATGGGGATAAGAACAGGGCTGGTGCGATGGGACTTTGTTACTGGGGGCAATCCGGCATTTCTCACCGGTGCCCCTCGGTTCCATGCATGTTTGGGCTGGGATGACTTTGATCCCTGTGCCCAGCTGATGGATGGGGCTAAAATTCATATTGTTGGTTTTGAAGTCCAAAGCCTCTAAACAAGCCAACCCTCTTGAGGGTCCGTGAGGGCTGAGGTCCCCAAAACGTAGGGAGGGGTTTCACTGGTAGGCAGGGGGAATGGAGCCAGGGTGACTGGGTTTTGGGATTGCCTCTGTGCCTTGACAGAGGAGAGGAAGGAATGGAAGTGGGAAGTGAAGGATGACGGGGACGGGTCAGTGCAGGTTGCAGATCTCTGCAGTGAGCCCTAGTGCTGGGACAGAGCTGCAGGCAGGACAAAGGGACACCCGCGCCGAGCGGGGCCAAGCAGTGTTTCCACCCCATCCGGAAATGGGAGGGAGCAGAAATCCCACAGGAAACCCTGCTCTCATAGAGAGGGGCCACAGTGTGCTAGGGTCATGCTGTCCTGGTGGCCAGGTGCATCCCGTGGGGATCCTGCTGTGTCCCAGCCCCTTGTCCTACCCAGGCAGTATGAAGTGGGCAGAGCAAAGCCAATAGAGCCATACCTGTCCAGGGAGCTGTGGCTGGGGTGTTCTTGCCCCTTTTCCTGGAAGTTCCCATCCATGGTCTCTGCTTCGGGTGCTGCATTGGGGCTGGGGGCCAGGCTGGGGCTCGGTGCCTCCATCCCAGGGCAGGGGCTGTTGCCCGGGGTTTCTTGGTCTGTGCTGGCTTTTTCTGCCTCTGGGGAGCCTGAGGGCAGAGCTTCCTCCTTCTCCTGCTCTGCTTTTCCAGAGACTGAGGACGGATCTTTTCCAAGCTTTAGTGTGCCAGGCATTTTCAGAGTCTTGGGGACAGGCAGTGGAGCTGTGCTGGGTATCTTGTCCCTGGATTTCCCTTTCTCTCGGCAGCTCTGGGTACCCCTGGCTTTGCCCAGGCTCTTCCCTGCCTTGCCCAAGCTGAGCCTGGGCATGGTGCCCATGTGGCTGTACATGTCTGATGAGCGTGCATAGGCACCAGGGCTCTTGGGCATGGTGTTGAGATCATCCTGGGTGCTGCTGAAGGACTCTTCCAGGAAGCCCTGGGGAGGAGGCAGACCCATGCCCAGGCTCTCAGGAGAGCTGGGGACCACTGACACGCGCCGTAGAGTGAAGGAACGGGGAATGTTGCTCAGGCTTTCAAAGCCTTTGAACTTGAAAAACTCTGACAAGGAGAAAGGAGAGAGGAAGGGGATCAGAGCTGGGCACAGGCACCACACCACTGTACAGCCTGGTGCCAGCCCAGCTGCACCATGCATTGCTGGTCCCACCCAGTGTGATGTCCCCATGGGCTGGGGCAGTGCTGCTCAGAGTGCCAGATCCAGGACAAACAACCTGTGCTGCCCTGAGTAAGACAGTGGTTGTGTTTCCCTACTGTTGCTGTAGTGATGGAGGAGAAAACGCTCGGCCTCAGTGAGCAGGGAATGGAGAAGGCCAGAAATGTCTCCGAATCTCTTCATCCTGCTCTTGCCCCATGCTCTCCTGGAGATGATCCAGGCAGGGCCCCCTCCAGGGTGAGAATTGGGACACGCTGCATTTGCCCATGGTGCTGGGGTTCTGTGGTTGTACCTCGTGTTCATGCTGTCAGGCACAGAGCATGAACTGGCCATCAGCTGGGCCCCATGGTGTTCGTGCAGCAGTGGGGCTGTGGGCAGCCTCCTGCCTCCCCACTTCCTCGGCTCAGCCCCTCACAACCTCCTTGCAGCTCCCTGTAGCCACCTGCAAGTGCTGAGCTCGCAGCGTTCACTGCAGGAGTATTTATAACTCTGACGGGAAGCTCTGCATTTCACACCTCGGTGCTGTGTGCTGCTGTGGTGCATCCCCAGTGACAGCACATGGGGCAAACTGGGCTGCAGCCACTGCGCTGCACAGCAGCACTGCACAGCTGGAGGCCTGGTGCTCTGGGTGCCTCGGGGGTTTTGCAACACTTACACAGCAGGGCTCTGTGCAAAGCCTCTTCCCCTCCAGGTTTGCAGGGGCAGGAAGCTGTGTGCTGCAGTAGTACCATGCTAGGAGCCTAGGTGCTGGGGTCCCACGTCCTACACAGTCTGCAGGGTGCCCCTGCTGCCAAATGGGGCAAAGGGGCTGCTGAAATCCAGAAGCACTCCTGCATAGCCAAAACCTCATGACCTGGACTCTGTTAATGACAAAACTGCTTTAGGTTAAACATCCCCTCAGTGTCCGAGCATCCTCTGCATCTGGGACTGCTGCTGGGTGGGAAAGCTGGGGGCCTTCCCCATTTTCCCCGCATTCCACCACAATGGAAAATCCCAGCTTGGCCGGAGCCGTGGGAGATGGGTTTTGCTCAGTTCCTCACACAGCTCCCGGGGGAGCACAGGGGTCGGCCTCCTGCCGGCGCCGGCATCAGCACATGGAGGCAGAGGAATGCGGGGAGCAGCAGTGAAGGCAGGGTCCTGCTCAGTGCAGGGCTGGCGGCGTGCAGCACGCTGGAGCCGCCTCCGAGGGCTTTGGGGAAAACCCAAGGTCTGTGAGAAAGAGCGCAGCTCCCTCCTGGTGGGCACCAGCACTTCCTCTGTGCTCAGTTCCCATTGCTTTGGTCCCGAGTGCGGCTCCATCAGTGTGGATTTACCCCCCACCATCCACCCCATCCCTGTGCTGCAGGAAGGACACACAGAAGGTTCCTGGACAACCCCAGCTCCAGCTTGCAGCCCCAGCCATGCAGTGGAATAAATGCTCTCTGAGAGCTGTGATTTGGGGGATGACAGCAGTGGTTCACCCCTCTCACATGCTGGCACCCGGTGCAAGCAGACTGCTCCCAGTTCAATCCCAGCATCAGAGCCATCAGCACCAGAGCTTGCTGCAGCTGTGGAAATGGAAGCCCCCAGAGCCTTCAGCAAGTTTCCTAACAAACTGAAGACTTCTTGCTTACGAGAGGTAACCATGCTCACACTCACACATCCCCTTCCCACCCAGGCAGCCCAGGTGAGAACTCAGCACCCACCCTCTCCATCCCGATATGACTTACTGAATTTCTTGAAGCCCCCTCGTTTCTGGCCCTCAGCCATGGCCGTGCTTGGTGGAGGCTGCAGGGATCGGGAGGGACAAGTTTATAAACTTGAAGCCTGTCCCTGCCTGCTCCTCCCTTCCTGTCCCCCCTCCGCCTCTCGCTTTGCTCTCTCAATCACTCAGCGCTTCCTCCTCGCTGCTGCCATCTGCTCGCGTGGCAGCCGTTGTCCCCTGTGCTCCTGTCCCCTGTTGTCCCTGCAGTTCCCTCCTGGCTGATCAGGAGCCATCAATGGGACTATGCTTTAGGGCTACTCCAGGATAGCTGTGTGCCGGCCATAGAGCAGCATGGCAGCTCCATGGATGGAGGTCCCACATGCACATATGGGGCTCCGCCCCATGGCGGAACCCCAGGACCCCACTGCACCGTGTGCTGGGGGAGCTGTGTTGCTTGTGTGAACATTTCTATGGGGGATGCTGTGGCCCAGACCTGGTGTCAGTCACTGGGCCTTGTCCCAGGAGCCACCTCCGTGTCCCTGCACAGCCGAGGCACTTCCTATGTGCTCCCTGCTTTTGGAAGCCAGCAGCCCCAAATGAGCCCCAGATTCTGCACGCGAACAGAGCAGGCAGGGGGATGTGCCTGTCTGCATTTGTTGCGGCCTGTGTTGCACTGGGGCAGAGGCTGGGGGTCCCCTGCTGCCCACTGCTGAGCACAGCGGCGGTGACGTTCTGCTCCGGGGGCCGTGCTCTGAGATGAGTCACGGCGACGGGACTCGGGCGGCGGCCCTAAGAGCGAAAGGTTTATCCGGGGTGACAACATGGCGACCGACGGCGGCCTACAAATCCCGGCAGGCAGCGCGGCGGCGCGCCGGAAGTAGCGTAGCGGGAGGGCGGAAGTGAGGGCGGCGGCCGGCATGGCCAAGCAGTACGACATGGTGGAGTGCCCGTTCTGCGATGAGGTCTCCAAGTACGAGAAGCTCGCCAAAATCGGGCAGGGAACCTTCGGGTGAGCGCTCCGGGACTCGGGGCCGCTCCCGGCGGCGCCTGTCTCCTCTCGGGCCTGTTCCCTGCGGCTCCTCCCCGTCCTGGGGCCCAGGCCGCGGTCTGACCCGGGGCCTTTGTGCCGGGGGCGGCCGGGCGGGGGGCTGCGGCCTCGTCCGCCTCCTTGCGGGGCCGTCCGTGCGGTCCTTTCCCTGCTCACGGGTCTCTTGCCGTTCTTACAGGGAAGTGTTCAAAGCCAAGCACCGACAGACGGGCAAAAAGGTGGCGCTGAAGAAGGTGTTGATGGAAAATGAGAAGGAGGGGGTAAGTGTGGGCGTGCGGCCGTGCTGTGCTTGGGAAAGGCGGGTTGGAGGGCTCGGGGAGGAGTGGCGGGCTTTGGAATGGCGGATTGGAGGGTGCTCCGTGTAACGTCAATGTGTGTTCTTTTAACTGTATTTACCGGTGTAACGTGCCAGGTCTTGAGTACACAGCGTGTGGGGGTGGGGCGGTTGTGCTGTGGTCAGTTGGGGCCGTGCTGTGCCCTCAGACAGGGGAAGGGAGGGCAGGTGTCTGCGTCACCAAACACCTCCACCTTGTGGCTGAATCCCTCTCCTAAAGGTGGTCTGATGACCAATGAGTTATGCCGGTGTCCCTGTAATATTTTGAAGTTTCAGTTGCTCTTAAATAAGTTGTTGCAGTGCTATTCCTGCTGTGCTGCAGCAGTCCAACTTCTCCTGTTCTCTAGGCAGATGTGAGCTGCACTCCTAACCCATGTCTTCTGCTTCTCCTTTCCAGTTCCCCATCACAGCTCTGCGAGAGATTAAAATCCTCCAGCTGCTCAAGCATGAGAATGTGGTGAACCTCATAGAAATCTGTAGGACCAAAGGTAGCTGGCGGGGTCTCCTTTGTGCTGGCTGCTTGCTGAGGGGGTGTCTGTTTTCAGTCTTCGTTCATGGCTGAGCAGGCTGCTGTGTTGCAGTGGGGGTGGATCTTCCAACTGAGCACAGGCTCAAGTCTGTAATCTGGGGTGATCACACGCTCATCTGCAGAAGCTCATTTGGAATGAATGCTACTGTGTTGCAGCTTGGCTGGAAAAAGCTGTTGTCAGTGCTGCTGGAGCGTGCCTGTGCTATCACAGTGAGCGGTGTGTGCTGTCTGAACGGCTTTAAATAAACCTGCAGCAGGAGAGAATTTGAAGCAGAGGATTTTCTGCCTGGTGGTGGTTTTGCAGCTTTATGGTGCTGATGCCATTGGGAGCTGGAGCCGTGCTTCTGCATGTGCTTACAGAGCTCGTGGAGCTTTGTGCTGGTGACAGCTCCAGCTGGAGACATGCTCAGCCTCTTGTTCTGTGCATGACAGAATCCCCCAGGCTTTGAGGGCTGGATTAGAAGTGCTGCAGCTTCACAGTGAGCGATTCAGTTGCTCTGTGCTGAGCTGCTGTTCCACCTTGTCGCTGCAGGCAGTCCCAGGGGAAGGCAGCACGTCTGCGCTGTGCCTGGTGTGCCTAATGCACCTGGCCTGCCTCTGTTTCCAGGGAAATCATTTTAAAGCATCTCCTCATTTTATATATCCTT